CCGATTATCTCGACTGGTTCGTTTGTAGCTGTGCTACAGCTAATATTTTCTCTAGAGAAACTTAGAATTAATTTCCTAGCTTCCAATTCCTCATATACACTTGACTTTAAAATATTTACAGAACAACCAGTATCTAATAACGCACATTTCACAAAGTTTTTACCAAAACTTATACCTACCGTGGGCAAATTATAAATACTCCTTTTGGTCTTAAACCAGAGTTTGTTTTTCTCCTTTCTCTCTTTCTTTCTCAATTTAATTTTCTCAAATTTGAAATGCTCCTTGACATCTAATCTATTTACATAACCATCTGTACTTCGCACTCTATTTATTAACTTTTTCATATTCCCACGACCTGTTTTTTGGAAGGCACTCTTCCGACCGATTAGTTTTCCGGATTTTGACTCACAGACTGGTTCCTATTTTCCCCACTGGTACTCTCCCCGTTATTATTTACACCTCTAAAAAAACTTCTTCTATCAGTCCCCTCATAACCCCCCCTGCTGTTACGTTGCCAACAGTTTCTTATCTGATGTCCCGGTTTTGAACAATAAAAACAAACAGGGCGGTCATCGTTACGAACATTTCGCTCTGTAGATTCAGACACATTATTCACACCTTTACTTGCGTAACTACCTCGCGCCTGATTTCTTACTCTCTCGTCTCTCTCTTTATCGATATAATCTATGTTCTGCACGAACATACACATTCTGTCTAGATCCTGGACCGTTTTAGGCAAACCTTGGAACACTAATTTACTCCTATCACTAGAGTTTATTCCCATAATGATAATCTCGATTAACTCATCCTCCGAATATTCACACATCAGAGTCTCAACGTTCTTTTTAATATCACACACATACATCGCCAAAGGTTCATTTGCACGTTGTGGTCTATGTACCATGTCCCTCTTAAGTTTCTCGTACAGTCCGCGGGGAATAAAGTATTTTAACAATGCTTTCTGCGCGTCCTGAAGGTTCGATCCACTTTTAACGAGACCATTTATTTTCCCAAGTAAAGGTTCACTTACATAACTAGAAACAAGTTCTAATAACTGACCTTCCTTTAAATTACCATACTGCTTAATCTTATTTATAACAGTGATGAAACTTAGCAGCTTAACATGATCAAGACCGTTAGTGTTTGGTGGAATTTCCCTTAAGGTTCTTTCTAAAGGATTTACTAACTTCGTAAACAATTTACTTGATTGACTGAGTGAGGATTGATTTGAGCATTCCCCAACATAGTTTACATTGCTTTGTTGGTTATCATTACCACATTCTTTAACTAAGGTCGCTGGCCCCTTATCTTCGCTAACTACACTATCGATTTCTTTGGACGGACCTGCTTTCACTAAACTATTGTCCGAATTAAAAACATCATTACACATTTCACTAACATCAACTTCCACCTTACTCTCCTCTACTTCATGGCTTTCGCTTAATTTTCTCAAAATTTCCTGCGATACACTACTATCTAACTCGCCCATTTTATTACTAAGCAACGTCTCCCATTTAACAGTTTCCCTTGACCACTCCTCTACCACTTTGCGATTTTCACTTGGCAAACGCGTTTCTCCGTTCTCCAACAAATTAATCAACCTACGACGAAGATGACAAACCCTTTCTTTCAACCTATGTACATGAACCGGTTCCTTAACTCCACCTATTCCCTCAAGAATCTCCCTAAGTTCGCCTAGCTTTTCTCTACAATTGTCAATCTCGATTGAAACTCTTAAAATAGTCAAATTATTCCAATCTGTGGGCAGCCCGTCTTTTAATGCCTTCCTAAGCCGCTTTCTTAAAGTCGCTACAGTATTGTCACTTGTCACAGGTAACCCCCTCCATTGCAGCTCATACAAAAGTTCGTCCTTGAGGAGCAGATCCACATTAAATGCCATGATGCCTTTATGTTACTTTATTTTTATTTTGTCCAATCCGTGCTCGAACCGCATAACGTCTGACTCACATTGATTAGCAGAGTGGCGCAACTTGTAACGTCCCTCATATTTTATGTACTACAGTTAACTCATTATGAGAGATGCTACTCTTCAGCTTAAAGCCATCAATAGTGAGACAGTATGCACCCAAACATAGATTGGAAGCAAAATAAAACAGTTTACTCCAGAAAAGATTTTTATTACAACAATTCGTAATGTTTACAAAGAATTATAGAATTTTAGATATGACCATAAAATACATTACAATTTTGACTCTTTTACTTGGAAACTCCGAGTAATTTTTCTCTGTTCAAATAAAATAATCACTTACTAAAAACAAATTAAGTACCCTGTAAATTCTCCCCTCTCCTACACAAAATCTCATAAAACACACTCTAACAAACTATCTCTAAGTCTTTACGCCTCAAAATCCAACTAAAATTACATAAAATAGGCCCCAAATCAAAATAAACTGCACTGGAATGGTACTCATCACTTCCATCCCGCGACGTGGTATCCTGGACTGAAGACGTGTGATCTCCATGGAGCATCTAGCTTGAAAATATGTGGAAGTCTGCGCAGATCCAAGAAAATCAGTGATCTGAAGACGAGACCTTCTAAGATGATAGGCCTTCCTCCCGATGCCGTAGATTACAATAGCCTGCCTAACGCCTCAGATCCAGGGGTAGACGTGAACCCTGTGAAAACTCGCCATTCTCAGTAATCACACTCACTGCTGTATACAATATATATACAGTACTCCTCCCAGTTCACGATAGGTACAAATATCTAACCATTCCAGTGCAAAGGTAATTAGTCTACTACATTTATCAAGGCCATTAAATAAAATCGTCTAATTTGTCATCTTTATTCTATGGGAATTTTTCCATTATAAAATACACTTATTACTCAGATTTTGTGACACATTTGTTCAAATTATTATTTAATTTAAATAAACTTCGATTAAGTTACATACTTTTGAAAGGAAGCTATTACCCTAACATGATTCAGACTGTACAAATTAAGCTCAGAGATTAATAATATACCCATGATACATACTTCAAATTACTTAAAACTAAAGATTGAGTGCCTAGATGGAATTTAAAATTACAAAATTATACATTTTCTATCTTGCCACCACGTGGTATGATCCTGCAATCTACAACTTGTCTATTCAAACTACTCTGCAACTTAAAACATTCACTTAAAACAATTAACAATGCACTTCTCGATATATTAACGCTCTTTCCTGGAATAAATTTGTAATTTTTTAAATAAACTAAAATTTCCTTAATATCTTACCTCGTTCTGAGGGTTATAACATGTAAGATGATCTGCTTCTCCAGATGCGACCAACATGACATACAGTACAATGACGAATGTGGGCATTTACCGTAGTCTGCCCTCACTCATTTAATTTCGGCGTACACCTACAGCGACTCTATCTGTCTGCAAACCATGAAACTAATTCCCCCCTCCGTCGCATGAATAGGTGACCATTGCCTTGTCTTTTGTCCTTGAACGTCAGCTCACCTACATAACATGTAAACCCGTCTGCGAATGTTAAATATTAAACCTATCTAGATCAAACTCTTCTAACAGATTTATTGTAACGAAAATCGTTACAATAAATACAATTAGAGTTTTTTCTGTACATTGCTAAGAATGATATATTTTGATTTTACGTTTTATACATTAACGAAGCAGAAAAAAGTCTTATCTCTATTTCTGTCTGTCTGTCACGGCCCAAGAGGTATTTTAAGCGGTCTTCTCCTGAAAAACAAGAGTACCTATCAAGATCCAAATAATTTTAATTTAATGTACTGTCTGGATTGGGGAGAGTGTCTTTAGCAATTAAAATATGGCCTCACCACTTTGTAAATAAAATGACGGACGTTCAAAAACCCAATTTTGTGAAATTTTTGTAAAAAATAAAACTCTTTATTCACACACTATCAAAAATTATTTATCAAATTAAAAAAATAAACATAACTGTAAACAATCCTACTTTGACAGTTCTAATTTTGTATCACAGCCATTTGGTTGAAATTAGCAACTACTGTTGTCATAAATTTAGACAATTAACAGTGCTGCACCCTGTTGGTACATTTTGTAACCTTTTAATGCTATTGATCATCACAGAATAAAATGGTTTAGTTATAACAGCTGATAAGATTATTTAATTCCATTTAAATATGAGTACTCATAAGGTTAACATGGGAAACTCCAGAGCCACTGGGGCGGAGCCCTTTTGACGGATCTGTACCAAACAAATATATACAAACTTTTATAAATATAGACTAGCTGGCCCGACAGACGTCTTCCTGTCCTAATGTGGTTTTATGTCAAATGCTCGTTCATTTTCAAGATGAGCTCGTTTGCATCTCTCAATCACGTTCTGGTTGAAGTTTGTTTGCTACGCTTACTCACCTTTAGGTTACAGCTTGTACGCTGCGCTCACTTGCCTTCAGGTTTAGCTCGTTCGCTATGCTAACTAGCCTGCTGGTTGAAGTTTGTTCGCTACGCTCACTCACCTTTTGGTTGCAAATTAGCTGTTGTCATAAATTTAAAAAATAATAGTGCTGCACCCTTTTGGTAAACCTATTAACTTTTTAATGCTATTGAACATTATATAATCAAATTGTTTAGTTGAACCAGCTTTTAAGTTTCTTTAATTCCATATAAATATAAGTACTTATAAGGTTAACATGGGAATCTCCAGAGCCACTGGGGCGGAGCCCTTTTGACGGATCCGCACCAAACTTCACACAAACCATCCTTGAATAATGCTTAATAATGCCTGAAAGTTTCATTACAATCTGTCAAGCGGTTAAACCTAATAATAGGTATTTAAATAGATTTAATTGAAACTCAATTCAGACAAATGGAAATTCGCTTAGTCGGCAGGTTTGCTGCGGCGGGGGTATTTAATCCGGATTTACATTCTAAAAAAGTCATTAGACTTTTGTAAAAACAACCACAAAATAAAAAGATGTACACCTAACAATGTCACATAGTTCCAGGATATCACAGACTAACACCAAAATGAAACACAAAATGAAAAAAAATACTTTTATTAATAAAATTAAACATGAACAGTTAAGTTAAATTAGCTTACAATAAGAATTTACTAACAATCCCAGTCCTCAAACAAAATAGTTTTGAAAGTTATGGCGATAAATGTTTCATCTGGAAAAATACTGTACAAGTACAATAATGGTAAGAATCTTTAAAAAACTTGTATAGACTGTAAAACATACTTTTCAGGAACAAAAGTTAAACATATTAAAACTAGGAATATACAGTCTGTTATAATGGTTTCTACTTGGCTAAAACTGTTGATGTGGGCCATACAGTGAGATTGAGACATAGTTGGATGTCTCTCGAGTCGGACCAGCCGCCCCACCCCCTCCTCACATGTGGTTGGTGGTAGTTAGTAGACTCTAGCATCACATTCTCCGGGAACATATACGGCTTGACAGAGGACAACTGTGTCTTGGCCTCATGCACAGCCATCTGCAAGTCACATGCTCCACTCTTGCTGCAAACAAACATTTAGGAACATAAAACTACATGATTTGTTTACATTTTCAAGTGTTTGACGTCTTCTAAACATTTAATTTTAAAACCATCCATGCTACATTTGAATTTACTCCAGATTGAGGCAGAACCAATCAATTTCACTGAAGCCCAATCAATCTCAAGTCGTTTTTTTTTTTCAATAAAACCCTATTCCCATGGTCCCATCACACTTGTTCTCATTTATAGCATAGACAACAAAAATTAAATATAGACCGTCAGCTGCGGTTACCATAGGTTTTGGCACACACTGCTGGGAGCACCATGTTGTTAAAACTCAACATGTTGCGGACCTTTAGGCCATTTATAGGATATATATATAAGTAGTAATCAAAATGGGTGTTCTGGGACAGAGGTGTTTTCGTTGAAATCCTTGAAAATCTGTGTGTTTTCCTTCACTTTCTGTTGAATTTGGTGAAAAAGTGATGGTTTTTGAGTGAATTTTGATGAAAATGGTGGTAAAATCAGTAAAAAGCTGAAAATCTGTGAGAGAGGAGGGGTCAATGACCTCCCCCTTGTCTGGTCACGTGACAGCTGTTTTTCCTCGAAAGGGGTGTGTCGTCCAGTGTTGTGTGGTCAGACAAGAAGGCGAGCATGGGGGGGTAGACTTGTATTGGGTGTTTTGATCAGACAAGAATGTTCGTACGGGGTGTTTTGGGTAGACAGCGGTGTGTTTGGAGTGCTGTGACAGCTAACTAGGCTCGCACTAGGAGATGGTTTGCAGTGAATTTTGACGAAAATGTTGGTAAAATTGGTAAATTATGAGAGAGGAGGTGTCTAGACCAGAGGCGTGGGGGGAGGGAGGAGGGGGGGGTGTGTCCATGACGTCACTTGTAAACAGAGGATCTGTGACCACGTGGAGTGAGGTAGGTCGGCAACTCAGCACGTGGTGTGGTTCCGAGTACTAAGGTGACGTCACATGTAAACAGAGGATCAGAGACCACGTGGGTTGAGGTAGGTCGGGGAGGGAGGAGGGAGGTGTGTCCATGACGTCACACGTAAACAGAGGATCAGAGAACACGTAGGTTAAGGCAGGTCGGGGGCCAGCACGGGGTGACCACGTGGTGTGGTTCAGAGTACTGAGGTGACGTCATATGTAAACAAAGGGGAGTGTTGCACAACGTCCAAGTGCCACGACGTCCAATAATATTTTTTCAGTGCCACGACGTCCAAAACATAATTTTTGAGTTGTTGCACGACGTCCAAGTGCCACGACGTCCAAAAGTACAGTAACTGCCAAAAATATAGTCTTTCTAAAAGCTTTGGACGTCGTGAAACAGCGCACTGTAGAATTGTAAAAAAGTATCATTTGCACCACGTCCAAAGCCTCTGCCAGTTGCACGATGTCCAAGTGCCACGACGTCCAATCAATATTTGACTGTTGCACGACGTCCAAGTGCCACGACGTCCAAAGTGCCTGCACACTGCGAACACTCTTTGCCGACCTCAGTGCATACAGTTCGCATTGCAATTATTGAAGGCAACTAGGCCTAGTCAACTATTGGAAAGTTGTCAACCGCTTCGTCTTCGATTAATGTTTAAATTATTCAATATTCAATGGTTCTAATTGAACTAATTATTGCATTAGCTTAAATTTTTTATATGTAAAATAAATACTATGTCACCGTAAAATGTAATGATGCAGTATTTCTGTTGTTATGATTGCATAATTGATTTCTACAAAATAGAGCTATGTCATAGAAACGAGATAAATAAATGACTACACTATTCACTATATTGTATGATTAATACAATAAATTAATCACTAGCCCAAAAGTAAATATGGTAGGTTTAATGTGAGTAGTGGTAGAATTCTAAGTACTGCAGTAGAATAGAATTGTCGTACAATATCAATTTGGTAGCGAATTTACTCGTAAGATAAAATGTATGCACAGTTTTATAACAGCTGTAAGACTTCCTATTTAAGTACCAGTATCATTGAAATTGCACAACTTCCATTGAACAGAAATGAGATAAATAGATATTGAAACACAGATATATGAATTTTCATACACTTATAATATGACGAATTCAAAAAGGTTTATCCGTAAAATGTGCTAAATATTATGTGAACTATCACTTATCAACTTTTTAAGCTATAATGGTGTTACTACAATGGTTAAAATTGTTTCCTGTGAAACATGTATTTTTTAAACTAAAAGAAGGTTTTCTTTTAGTACAAACCTTGCTCTATTAGTGTATACAAAAAATAATTTCACTATTTTACGAGATCAATGTTTGACAACAAATGGTTGAAGCAGATATTCAGAGAGTGTCTCCAGCTGATGCAGTAATAAAAACGTATTTTAGCCATAGCACAGACAATATATAATACTAAAATAGTAATCTATCTATCTATCTATCTATACTATTATAAAGAAGAGGTGGTGTCTGTGTGTTTGTATGAGATAATCTCAAAAAGTACTGAACCGACTGGGCTCAAATTGCACGCAAATGAAGCTACAGCTCCGAGAATATATATTATACAACTATTCCCTCTTCGTTATTGTCCTAGGGCTCTGCCCCGTGGGCTTTCAAAAATTTGAGGTGAGAGATTTTAAAATATTGATTGATGGTATCCATGGTAACAAGAGCAAACCTACAAAATTTAAATTTTTTTTAACAAGTATTTATTTACAATCTATAAGTAAATTTCATGACCATTTTAACATGGGTTAGATACACTCCATCAAGTCCACTAACATACAAAAAATTTTAAAAAATTTAACTAAAAACGATTTGGAAGGTCTATTGGATTAACTCTTTTGAGTCTATATGTAGCTTCACTATTATCGAGGAGGTTAACTGCCAGGAAATTTGGATGGATTTCTAATTTTCTTTGATATTTTTCACTTCGTTTTTTTATTTCTTCTCTAACATAGGGTAATTTTGTATCTTGATGAATAACTTTATTTGTGACAAACCAAGATGCTTGTAAAATCTTTCTTAGTGTTTTAGATTGAAATCGTTGAACTATTTCTATGTTCGAGTAAGTGGTTCCCCAGAGTTGGATACCGTAGGTCCAAATACAGTAGAGTCCCGCAAACTCGGCTCTCGATAACCCGGCAGTCTGGATAACTCGGCCATCACTTGGCTCAGAAAATTAGTGATTTTTTGAGTCCGATTTAAAAATGGACTCATATTCGCAACTCATACCAAGGATTTGTTGTACTATATCTGATGACTTAATACTGACTTGTACTATAAACATAAATAAAAAAGGCGGTTAAAAAGCTTAAAAATTGTATTGTTCTTATTTTTAACCCTAGTTCCTGATAACCCGGCATTTCACAAACTCGGCACCCTTCCAGTCCACATTACGGCGAGTTTGCGGGACTCTACTGTAATAGCTTTCAATATAATTTTGTATAAAAGTAATTTATTTTCAACAGATAATTTTGAATTTCGACCAATAAGCCAATTTAGTTTGTTTGTTTTTAAATTTAAATGAAGTCGTTTGTTCCAAATGTGTGAATGCCATGTAAGCCGTCTGTCGAGATGCATACCAAGGTACTTAACTTCGTTGGATTGTGGAAGCATCACATTATTCTATGTTACTGGGGGGCAAGTTCTTGTAGACATAGTAAATGTAACTTGAACGGATTTGGTTTCATTTACTTTAATTTTCCAATTCTGTAGCCACTGAGACAAATCGTCTAATGCAGCCTGAAGGTTTGATGATGCTAGAATAGGATCCTGATTTGATGACAAAAAAGCAGTGTCGTCTGCAAATGTTGCAACTGTAATACCCTGAGTACTTGGAAGGTCATACGTGAACAAAATATACAAAATAGGTCTAAGAACACTGCCTTGTGGTACACCTGATTCAATTTCAAGCACATCCGTAACTACATCTTGATATTGAATTTGAAAAAAGCGTTTGGACAAATACGATTTCAACACTCCATAGTGTGTATGGGGCAGCAAAGTTTTAATTTTGAACAATAGTCCTGTGTGTCAGACTTTATCAAACGCCTGGGCTACGTCCAAAAAGCAGATGAACAAAAAAGTTTATTTTCAAGATCTTCCTTGATTACATTCACTATTCTATGTACTTGCTCAATGGTGGAATGCTTTCGGCGGAATCCAAACTGATGGGAAGGCAACAATTCTTTTTCGTCAATTATAATTTGGAGTCTTTTAAAAAAAAGTTTTTTAAAAACTTTTGAAACCACGGGAAGAAGAGATGTAGGCCGATACGAGGATGCTTGATTTAAAGGTTTAGCAGGTTTCGGAATAACAAAATTTGTGAAACCTTCCACTGTATTGGGAAGTATTCGAGGCGTAAAACTGCATTGAGAAGTACTGTAAGGAATACTATTCCTTTTCTAGGCAGCTCTTTCAACACTTTACCTGTTATCAGATCATAACCGGGGGCTTTTTCGCCGTTTAAATCGTCTTTTATTACTTTAGCTACTTCGGATGGTGTAAACAATTTTATCGGTAAATCAAGTTGGTTTGGAGAATCGAGGAATTCCAAAATTTTGTTCAACGTTTGAATTTATATTATATGGTTTGAACACTTCTTTGAAGTATGAAGCAAAGACATCTGCTTTCTCGATGTTGTTTTTGGCCCATGAACCGTCTTCTTTTAGAATAGGTGGAATGCAAATTTGTGGACGTTTTAAGTTTTTTGTAACTTTCCAAAGGGAGTAGTCATTAGCTTCAGATGGAGAAAGGTTTGATGTGAAATCTTGAAATCTGTCATAGTTTAATTTAAACAGTAACCTTTTTAGTTGTTGAGTAGCCCTGTTTAGATTTCTTTTATCCGTCTGATCTCTAGAGTTTTGTCATATTCTACGGAGTCAGCGTTTTTCGGCAATTTTCCTATTAATTTTAATTGGATAGCTTATTCCGGATTTGCTCTCCAAGCGGAGTCTTGAACTGTTTTGTTGAAATGTTTAACAGCAAGATTCAAATCTTCTTCGCTCTTCAAACACACAGAAATCTTTAAATTTTGAT